CTATTTTTTTTAAGAATATCTGTAGCTGGCTGTTTATACAGTCTTTAGATTTTAGGATATTTTGCTTGTCTCTAATTCATTTTTTAAAACATTTTTTTTTTTTTTTTTGAAAAGTAAAAAAATATATATATACATATATATATTTATATAGCAAGTAGCTGCATGTGTAGAAAATAATCACTATAAAAAAAAATATGATAGATATGCTTCGCTTTGCAGAATCCCCCCCCCCCTTTAATTTATGCTTTTAAACAGGTAATTAGTTAATTAGTTCACCCCGCCCCCCCCAGGTCACCACTTTGCAGCAATCCCTTAGCGTGTACTCTATTCCAGCCGTTGTTCAGTTTTGTTTTATCATTTTGCAAAGAACTACTGAAAGCTTTTTGGTAGACTGATTAGCTTCAAAGGATGTAGAGTGAGGAAAGTGCTCAGGTCAAAGGTCAGAGGTCAGGAGCCCCTAGAATGTAGTCTAGAATGAAGCGTAGGAATGATGCTGAGACAAGTAGGCTGCGGCTGCACGGTCCCCCACACTCACCCTGCATGCTATGGCATCCGTCCCAACAGGAAACCTCAGGCGTGGTGAACCCGGGGTTCTCCGATTCTCCACGTGCCTCACAAGTAGCTCCAGCCTAAATCATCACCACCACCTCCACCTCCACCACCTCTCTTCCCACAGTTACCATACACGGAGGCTGCCACCACCGCCACAGCGCCACAACCGCGGAAGAAGCTTAGGCACTGTTCGTTGGCGCGAATCTCGGGATATTTTCTGAAAGCGTAAAATTCTCTCTTGCGGTTCAGTTTCCACCCCCTTTGATTCCCCCTTCCCTCCATTTCCTCTATTCTCTCTCTCTCTCTCTCTCTCTCTCTCTCTCTCTCTCTCTCTCTCTCTCTCTCTCTCTCTCTCTCTCTCTCTCTCTCTCTCTCTCTCTCTCCTGCGCATGAAGTTTAGGTGGCTTGTTAGCCCTCCCCTCGCCTCTGCTTGGTCCTGCCCTTGCCCCTTGCCCCTTGCCCTTGCTCTCACCTCTTTTAGCGGACGCAGGCAGTCAGGCGATGTCCCGGTTGTACGTCGCTGGTGGCAGCGGTGGCACGACGGCCGACATGGTAACTGGTGGGCAGACCTTGGAATGGTGACTGTGTATCTCGCTGCAGGTGGATCCTGGCATCATCAACTACGGCTTCGGCAACTTTGCCGCCGAGGAGACCCCGGCCAAGGCGGTGACGTGGGCCCCCGTAGGCTCCTCCAGCCCCGCCAAGTCCCTGGAACCCGGAGGATCGGGCGCCACCAAACTGGACACGCAGAAGCGACCGGAGACGACCACGGCCTACTCGCCGGGGTCGTCGGGCGGGGGACCCAGAGTGCAGGTGGTGGCCGCCTCCGTGCCGCCGTCCCCGAGCCTGGGCGACCCTCCGCTCGAGAACACACAGTCGCAGGAACAGCTCGAGCTCCTCCTCTCTCCCAAGACGCTGGAGTGAGGCGCCCGAGCCTCGGACTCCCCGCGCCGATGCGAAGGAAGGAAGCGGAGAAGAGGAGCAGCGATGAAAACACACGCCCTGCTGCTCAGGGTCGGCGTGGGAGTGAACGTGGGCGTGGGAGTGAGTGTGGGCGCGGGGATAGGGACCTGTGGGGGGAGGGGGGGAGGGAGGGTGGCTCAAGGTGGTGGACCTCATGTGCCTTCGTCAGTGCTGCCGCCATGGGTGGTTGGCCCTCTGGTCAAGGCAGTCGCTTCTCCAGAAGAACTTCCTTTGGCCTCCGTGATTTTCAGTCTACTCTCGCCATCGAATAAAAAAAACAAAAACCAAAAAGAAAGAAAGAAAAAGGAAAATAAAGAGAAGAGAAAATAAAGAAAAGAGAGTGATATAGAAAGACCGCGAAGTGTTGCTCAATGGCGCAGAATCTAATGGTCTAAAGTGTGTCTTAATGTGCGTGTTTTACCAAAGGACTGTGAGCAGGATGAGTGTCAACTTTTAGGGGAAAAAAATACACACAAACAAACTAATCCAAAAAAAGAAACAAGCAAAACTGGGAAAAAAAAATATATCAACCTTTATTTCACCTTCTTTGAAAAAAAAAATAATAATATCGCTTTTATGGTTTCATTTCCTTTTTTTTCTCGAGAAAATAAAAAAAATCTGTACAATTTTGTGTGTGTTCTGACTTTATCATTCACTGCTTCTGCTTGCGAATTTGTTCAGCCATTGTTCTTCTTGTTCTTTGTCACGAACGATGATTTAATAGTGATTGATGACGTCACCTGTATCAGCAATATTGTTATTATTCCTTTTTTTATCATTCTTACCATGCTTATCAACTGTGTGTAATTATGATATCATCGGTGTTGCATTATCCCGATTATTATTATCAATTTCCTTCTCCCCATCCTTTCATCAGCCTTTGTTATTTATCCTATCATTAACTGTATCCTTTCTTGATCATCCCTTCATTAATCCTTCGTTAATTCTTTAATGAATGCTTCGTTAACTATTCTTGTAACTTAAA